TTTCAAGTTTTTTAACCAACAAATAAAATTTTATTGATATTTCTAGAAAAAAAACTAAAAAAAAATGAAAAATGAAAATGTCCCTAAACAGTTCAAAATATTTTGAAAATGTTATCGTGTATAGAAAATGCAAATATAAACAACCAGTGAAAATTGCATGTATCTGGTCATTTGTTTTAAAGTTACACCAAAAACCAAATTCAATTTTCTGAAAAATCGATTTTGCGTAAAATTCCCGTTTTTCCTTAATTTTTCTTTTGTTTTTCTTGACGCTTTTGAAAAGTACTGGGAATTTTAAATTTTGACCTCTCCAATGCACCAACGATATTCACTTTCCAATCGAACAAGATACTGAAGTCGAAAATCGAAGCATTATTTCGACTACTTATTGTGTACACTGCAGACACAAAAATAAAAAAATAAAAAAATATAAAAATATAAAAACACACATCATTGTAAAATCAATACATTCATCGTTTCACTCAGAATCTAAAAAGAATTATATTATTAAATTTATTATTAAGAGGACGCAGCACCTGCAGGTGTTGTCTACGTCTTACAAATGTAAAACATAGCAAAAATCGTTTTGGCGTGGAAAAAGAACCGAGAAGGCTACAGTCATAGCTAAAAAACGAAATGTTCACCACATAAAAAGGAAAACTTTTGCTGTGCAATATCGGTTTTATGTTAATCGATATCGGAATTTCTAAAAAAGTTTAAAAGTTTAAAAAACCAAACAAATCACAATGATGTATTTTGATAAAAATAACTTTTTTCGTATAAGTGATATCAAAATAATAACAATGATATTGTACAGCCAAAGTTCTCCATTGTATGTGGTATTGGGGTGAACATTTTGTTTCTTAGTTATGACTTATGACTGTAGCTGTCTCTGTTCTTACCAGCGCAAAACCATTTTTGCTATGTTGACATTTGCAAAACGGAGAATACACTTGCAAGTGAGCTCCTCTTAATGAAATATAATTATTGTACTGAAGCAGGTAGATAGGAAGTTGATAATAATAAATCCATAAACAAAACGTGGTCTTTTAAATATACTTGTTGACATCTATACCACTATACCGCTGCATATTTAATGAAATAATGCCTTATTAGTTATTGCAATAAAAGAATTATTAATATTTCTTGAAAAAAGACATCGATAAATGTTGTATAATGGCATTGATTAAATATACAGTATATTTAATCAATGATAATGGTATACTGCCTTCTTGTATTAAAATTATGGTTAAAATCAGTATAAATATTTATAGAAAACGACCAAATTGTCCAATGGTAATAATTTATACTTTAATATTGATTAAAATCAAGTGATTTTTATCCTTATAAATATCTTAACTTTATTTATGTGATTTCAACTTGAAAGAACAAAAATCGATAATTTTCCAGTTATGGCTTTATTACACCTACCTGATTTTAATATTATTTTGGCTGTTAACAAAATTTATGAAGTGTTAATAATTATGATTTGATTAATATAATAATATTATTAAATACGTTCATGCTGATCTAAAAAACACTTAAACTGCAAAATAAAATAATTGCATAATATAATATTAAGATTATATATTTATATAGAATGAACAACTTCAGTCTCTTAAATGTTTGATAATCGCGATGATCGCTTGCTCAGAACCTAAAATAGAAAATTAAAAACCTCTAAAATAGCCATATGAAAATTATACAATATATAGTATAAAAGATGCTTATAAAAAAATTTCCCCTCATTTTTCGTCGTTTTTCCTAATATTAGGAAGAATTTGATTTTATAAATAATTAATAAAATACTATTTCTGGTAAGCTTAAGTTTTTAAAAAAGTCATCATTAAACTTATAAGACATTTTAGAATACGATTTGTTATACTTAAATGTGGCTGTCAGCTGAAGATAACTTACAAATTACTGTAAGCTATTTAGCTATTAAATATTAAAAACGCTCTCCTGAACAATTTTAGTTTTTTTTTTAATTCTTAAACTTAGGGTCTTGATTATTTTCACAATTATGTAGGTATATTAATATTTTACTACACAGTAACTTTTTCAATTGCAAGTTTTCGGCAAAAATGAATCAACTTACTAAAAGTAAAATAAATTACTTTAATAGCAACGATGTCATAATAATATATAATATGTACTAACTACTATAGACATAGCTAGACTTACACTATCTGAAAAACAGTATTCGCTCAGTCATAGGCGCAAATAGACGGATTATTTCGGGAGGACTAAAGCCCTTCATATAATATTTTCTAAAAATTATATATGCTCAGTACTAATTACTGACTTTTAAACTGGGGGGACTTGGCAGAAATATGGGGGGACTAAGTCCCCCCAAGCCCCCACCTATTTGCGCCAATGAGCTCAGTATCGTTTTTTTGTATAGCCGTATAGGTATGATATTATTATGATTTTATATCGTTGAATTCAAATTTAACATATTACTGTGACCAACACGACACTATTAATATACAGCAGACTGGTACCCATTTTACTACTTGTCCACTTTTTTTATGTAAACAATTCACAATTTATAAAAAAATAGTATTTACATAAAAGTGGGTCCTAATTTTGAAAAAAATATATATAAATAAATAATAATAACAAAAAATTAATTTCGTCGTGATTGATCTAATTTACCAATGTATATAATATTGTTAATATATTTAAATATTTAATGAAGTAAGTAATTATACCATTAATACCAACATCTTTAGTGCATACAAAGATTTAAAATTAAATAATTAAATAATAAAAAAATACAAAGCGAACTTTTGAGTTGAATTGTACAATTAACATCCTATAAAATATTGACTTGGTACCTCTACCTATATAAATATTATTGTATGTGTATAATATATAATTACATTACAACCTTCGCAACGTAACTACTATAACCTTGTAATTTATTTAACCAATTTTACGTATCTACCCTTTATTGCTAAAAGTTTTCGATGTTTCAAAGTTTACTGTACGGTATTTACTATACTGGAGGTCATAATATAATATTATATCAACATGGCAACATCGCCACATACCCACCAAAATCATAATATTTGAAACTATGAAAGTTTTTCATAACATTAAGTATATATTATTATATTGAAGAATTTAAATAAATAATCACATTTTATCATATAAATCTCCTAATAAAATAATAATGTTAAAAAAATTTTTGAATAATCTCTGCATAATTCCATAAATTGCGGTTTTCGGTAGACTACTCCTACAAAACATAAAAGATAATAAGACAAAATTAGTTTTTATTTAAAGCATTAAACACTGGTCATCAAATATTTATTAGTACCTTCATGGCTACCTACCTATCTATTTCAGATTATGAAATAAAAAAGAAAAAGGTTACTTACGATAGTGCCTACGGCCTAGTAACGGATCCAGAAGTCACCCAAGGGGGGGGGGGGAATTTTCAAAAATTAAACGGTCTTTTTGTTTAGCCAAATATTATAATAGAAAATAAAGTTAAAAAGGAGCCCAAGGGGGGGAGGGAGAACGCCCCTTCAACACCCCACCCCTCTTGTATCCGCCACTGGTACGGCCTACCACTCAAGGGGACATTTGTTGTCTCCGTCTTACAAGTGCCTAAAGCCCCGTCCACACCAAAGAAAATTTTGTCGGAAACAAGTGTTCCCAACATTGTCATCGACAATGTTTCCGATTTTCGCTCATAAACGGTAACATAAATATTTGTCGACGACAATGTCAGAAACATATGTTTCCTAGTTTCCTACAAATGTTTCTTGGTCTGGACCGGACTTAATAGCCGTAACATACCAAGTTTTACGCCCAGCAGAATACGTTTATCTCCGTTAATTTAAAAATTAGAGCGCATTGACCTCTTATAAAATTTAAAGGTAAGATTATTATCTAGAATTCTAGACAATGACTTAGGATTTGTATTGTATTTTATAGCGAGTTAAATGTATTTTAAAATTGTAATCTGTTTGTACATTTTAAAATACTCATAACTCGCTTTAAAATTAAAATATAATAAATCCAGATTGACTTACTACCGTTATTTTTAGTCGTCTAAAGCTTCTACAGTGTACATAAACAATTCTTTAAATGTAATTAATGCATCATGCCACTCAACATAACTAGTCTCACCTAATGTCTTGAGTTTATTCTTTATTTTATAATTTTTTTCATTTGACTCAATTATAGATTATAATTTTTTTTTAAAATAGCGAATACTACCAATGAGGGGGGACCATGGCCCCTGTGCCCCCTTGGATACGTCACAAGTCACCACTGGTTCAGTTGTACACTTATATTGTACTACATGTTTGAAGTTTTGAACAATCGAATAAAAATGATGAAAGGAATTTATTGGCAGGGGTTACTGCTTGATAGCACCATAGCAGTACTTAGTACTCAATACTGACTACTCAGTAGGGATTAGTAATTGTAGCATCGATTTAGTATTAATTGTAATCAATGGTATAAACACATTAATACAATAATACCTATATTTTGTTGATTGTTTTTGAACAACGATACACGTCGCACGATCTAGTGTTCTACGAGTATTCGTAAACAACAATGATTACATGACCGAGAAAGTTGATATAGGAAACGATAGGAAATATTTTGATAGGAAACGAGAACGTGCGATGTGCCGATGTCACGTTGGAAAGTAAAATACACGTTTGAACACTGAAGATCTCTCACTCACTTGTGGAATTCGTCGTCCAAACCCAAATGTTTTTTGATGCATTTCGCTATTACTTTTTTCGATTTATTATTTTTTCAAATTATTTATTTCAGTAAATAGGTGTTATTAACTGTTGTTTACTTTTTATATCACTGTAAAACATATTAATTTAGGAAATGTAAGAATAAGCGCTTTTTATAAATGTATAAATACCGATCTATACCTTTTTAAATAAATACAACAACATTTAAAATGGATTTGTGTATTTTTACAGATTATATTATAAGACAGATATTTGTTTATTTTCAAAATGGCACTTTCAAAACCTGCTGAATTTTTACAAGGATTAGTATTGACCTATTTGGAACGCTTGAATTCAAGACCTATTCGCACAAAGTCAATTACCAGGTATTATTTTTTATTAGAAAATATTTAATATAGGTAATATTTTTAAAATTTTTAAATATAATTTTTAGTTGTATTATTGCGTCACTTGGAAATATTACTTTACAAAACATTGCTGGAGCTAAGATGATTGACCAGGATAGTGTTGTGGCTTTTGGATTATTTGGGTAACCATAAATCAGATTATTATGTACATTTTTAATGTAATTTACTATTAAAATTAACAAGGTAATTTTTATATTTTTTTTTGCAGTCTTTTATTTGGTGGCCCAGTACCACATTTTTTCTACGAGTCATTAGAAAGCACTTTTCCAGAAAATTCATCAAAAATGGTTTTTTTAAAGTTTGGTATTGAACGTTTATTATTTACACCATTTTATCAGTTCCTTTCGTTATATGTGTTGTCAAGATTTGAGGTATGAATTTAATATTTTGAACAATAACTATTAAAATATATAATAGATACTATAATAAAAATTAATTATTTTAGGGAAAATCACATGAAGATACAATGAAGCAAATATATGCAATTTATTGGCCTATATTAAAAGCAAATTGGCAGATTGTCTCATTGATACAGTTTTTCAACGTTAAATTTGTACCTCCAATGGTAAATAGTTTGAGTTATTTAATATTTTATTTATTAAGTTTATTTGACTAATTAAAATGTTTGATTTAGCTACGAGTGTTATTCCATAACATGGTTGGCTTCTTTTGGGCCATGTTCATTACATACAAAAAACGCAATGATGATTTCAGACGAGCCAATATTGTTAAATAACCAAGGATGAAAATTAAGAAATTATTATAAATTTGATATGCCTAAATTATTTTCATCATTAATTTATTGACTAGTTTTAATTATAAATTAATTTATCTGAAGTTTAATATTATATAACTATAGTTTTATTAAACAAAAACTTGGGGAATGCTCAAATAGGTGGGTGTTAAGTAAGATAAGACTTTAGAGATTAATGGCTTCTGTGTTTAGTTATGTATTACATAATAATATTTTTGTACTTATAGAATAAAATAATTTAAAAATGTCTATTAAACATTAATTATTGAAAGAAAGTTACAGTGCATTTTATAATATTATGTAGAACAAAAATATAGTTATTAGTTGTTAAAATAAACAACTTTCCAATTTAGGAGGTGATAATAAGAATCATAATTTAATAATTTTGTCATGCATATAACATATTGAGTTTAGTTTACAGAAACAAATTAATTAAATACACTATGCCTACTGCCTATGATATAATATAGTTATGACTATTAGTCTGTAGTCATATGGACTATTATGGAGTATGGACTCCAAGCCAATAGCCACAGCCCATCAGCACGACGGAGAGAAGAACGTGAGAGTGACAAAATTTAAAATACTAGAACTACATCACTATTCACTATTTCACTAATTGAAAAACTGAAAACATTATCTATTATTTATATTATTGATAATGTTATATTCTGTGATAACCACGGATAACCGTGGTGATGACATAGATAATAAAGTATTGATAAGAAAATTATTTATTATTTGATTATATTGAAAAAGAAAATTGAAATTTTGTACTTTGTAGTTACTCAACGACCAACGTATTGAACGTACAATCAACGCTCGATTTCTGTTCAGAAACCCTGCTGATTTAAAAGCCCCGAGTATTAAAAATTAAAAAATAGATTTTTAAATAATAACACCTTTAGTATTAGATAGTCTGTTTTGGTTATAATTTACTGTTAATGTTGTGTATTATGTAATTATGTATTGTTAAGTAAAAATCAAGTTAAATCAACAAAATGATTTTGTTAATTAAGTCAATAGTTTTCATATTACTTATAGCTAAATCGTTGAGCACTTCGTCAGAGGATGGTGTTAAATATGCCAATAAATGTGAAGGTTTGTGAATATAAGTAAATGTATTATTATTTGTACCTATTTGTTAATGAATTTTAATTATTTACACGTAATTATGTGTTTTATTTTAGTCTGTAAAATATTAGCGGAAGAATTAGAGGGTCGTTTACTGGAGACTGGTAAGACGAGTGAATATTTGGAGATAGGTTATTCGATCGATCTGCCAAAAAAGAAAAAAGAGTACAAAAAATCGTAAGTTTAAAAATATCATAAATATTTTATAATTGGTTTCTATAAATTATAATATTATTCATATTATGTGTTTAAGGGAACTGCGTTTAGTTGAATCACTAGATGGTCTTTGTGAAAGAATACTTAAGTATAATATTCACAAAGAAAGGACCGATAGTACACGATTTGCTAAAGGAATGAGCCAAACTTTTCAAACATTACACGGACTTGTGTAAGTTAGCCATTAATATTATAAATTCCGTGCACTATGTATTACCAAGTTAAAAATTGTAAATACATTTTTTTGTTAATAGGAATAAAGGTGTAAAAGTTGAACTTGGTATACCATATGAACTTTGGGACAAACCTTCGGTTGAAATCACAAATATGAAAACTCAAGTAGGTAATCATTTAATATGATAAATGTGTAATTTAACAACGCATATTTTATTTTAAGTGTGAAGATTTATTGGAAACCTATGAATCAGATATAGAGCAGTGGTATTTTAATGATCAAGCTGAGAGCTTAAGAAGTTATTTATGCAAAGACCGTGCATTAAAAGATTCTGATCAAACATGCTTGGATGAAGCATCTCCATCTAAAGGAGATACGAGACAGATAAATCAAGAATTGTAAAAAAATCAATACACGTATTGAAGTTTGTATATAAAGTTAATAGGTATTTCATAAACATTATCATTGAAAATACAATAATTGTATAATCATATTGACATCTAAAATTATTTATTTATAATAATGAATTAAGTGAATATGATACTAATCAGATACTTTTTATCTTATTAAGTTATTTGAATTCACTTAAATATAGAACAACACATATAATATTTTATTTTTTATGAGTATTTAATAAATTGATATGCCAAAGTCTTTTTGTAAATTATCATTACTTTCATAAAAATTAAATGCATCTTGATAATTCTGATTAATGTATCATAATGTATTATTGATAGCAGCTCTTTCTGAGCATCAAAACCAATTGTTTTAAATATATTTTTCTTTATGTAACTTTTGTGCCATACAAATGAAATGTTTGCTATATATGTAATACAATTATAACACATTTTACAACTCAACTATTAGTAATAATTTTTTAAATATATTTGTATAGTAAAACATTTTATTTAAACCATACCATAGCGAATAATGAGTAAAAATATTTTTACACTATTATATTTTCCTTATAATAAGAAGGAAAAAAATAGATTTATTTTTTCTTAAAAGAAGTAATTTTTTTTAAAACAATAATAGAACTTATGTGAAATTAAAATTTTTTTTTATTTTTTAAAATTATAAATCAATATCCGGATCAATTGAATTTGTAATTGAATTGAAGAGTTTAATCGTCTGATCACCCATATTGACCATCGATATGTGCTTGTGCTATCGCTATCCAATTTTAATAACAATTATAATATATTCATATACTATTAAATCATTATAAGGTTTAATTAATTTTGAACATAATTTGTTTTCTCATAAAAATATTTAGGTAGGTATATAAATAATTGATTACTTTTGAAATTAATGTGGAGGCCACATTAACACTAGCTGCGGGTTGGACAACCCTGCTCAAGACAGTTAAATAATTACCATAATTTATTCTTGAGGCACAAATGCACATTATATTTTTCATTATAGTTCAACTTTCCCTATAATTTACTAATTAAAAACCTAAAATATTAAAATTAAATTTAGTATTGTACCGTATTGAAGGTCAATTATCAACAGAATTGAGCATTTAGTTGTTCATGTGACCACTGACCAGACAGTGTTATCTGCTTCCGCCTGCCATAGTTCAACTTTTTAAACAGCAATGCAAACCACAGATAGTAGAACAAATTAGATGCCAGGTGGCACTTTCATATTCGTCTTTCGTCATTAAATGGTAAATTCAAAAAAATATATTTATTGAAATGGTACTATGGTAGTATCATGTGATATTATAAAGTTTAGTAACTTTTGGTATCATTTAATGTCGGAAATGAAATATATATATTCTTATTAAAAACTGAACGGTTTTCTTAAAAAAAATTAGAAATATATATAATATAAATCAGTGTTAAGTATTTATGATTTAAATTAACATTTTATTAAATGTTCAGTATACATAAAATTCACGTCAATATTCTAAAAACCACTGTATAAACTATTAAAACATTTTTTTAAATAGAGAAAAAATAGTTACAATAACACAATTAATTATATAACAAATGTACCCTAATATATTAATGTATTTCATCATTAGAATAAGTTTATAAATAATTCATACATTTTTAACTTCATATTAGGCTGTAGAACAGATTTAAAACTTAATTCAATAAGATTTTAAAATAAGTACAAATATTTGTGGCATGTGGATGGCCCATGTCATGAAATTTTAATGAAATACAACAATAATAACAGCGTACTTAAAATATTATCTATAAATAATGTTATCATACATCTTGTATCAAAGTTAATTTTGAATCAAGTATGCTGTAAATTCTATATGACAATAATATAACTTGTATTAAAACAAAATACATTTCCTGAAAATTGGCTTAATGCCTACACTAAATTATTTAGTAATGATAAAGTTTCAGAAAATATAATTTGTAAGACCTAACACTTACTAATAAAATCTCAATAAATGTGGGATTTTAAACATTAATGACTAGAAATGGGTAAAAATAGATTAGTTATAATCTAAAATAAATTTCACAACCGTAAATAGCGTAATTAAAAGTTATTTAACATTGTTTCTAAAAGCGTAAATAAATTATTATGTGTAAAGAGTTGTATTTTATTTTCAATACTCTTCTAACTATTATATTATTTTAAAATCTATTAAAATTATAAAACTACATCCATTCAAAATTAGAACAAAATGGTTGATCATTTCATTTTTTTATTTGGTCGAAGTCTGATGTGTTCTATTGGACATTTATAAATACTGTTTTGGTGGCGGGTTAAGAATGATTGACTAGTTTTTGCTCATAACTATTCACAAAAATGATATATTAGTTTATAATACTTAGATATGTACTTAACACTAAAGAACTAAACATATTATATGCTTACTGTAAAAATTTACTGTAGCCAAGCAGCAGGTGCCCATAACGGTTCGGTTTTTAATTTATGGTCAGCTTCTAATAATTGCTCCAGAGCCAACTTGAAATCATCATTTACAATTATTTCATCAAACCAATGATCATAAAGAAATTCAATTCGTTTTGAACTCCTTAGTATCTCATTGAACTCATCGTCCTATAAAATGAATTCATATAGTATGATACAATTGTTTTTTCGATGCACACTTACTGTAAAACCTCTAGAATTTGTTTCATCAAATGTTGACATTGCAAATGCTGCATTTCTAGTTGATTTTAATATGTCAAATACTGGTGGCTTAATATATACAATGTAAGGTTTTATATCGGGGGTGCGTAACATTTTTAATGCCTACAACAAATAATAAATTATTTTAGATAGGTATTGAAAATAGCAATTATAATAAAAACACAAATTTTGAATTTTACCTGATAATGTGGGTTTATAATACAAGTAAGTCCGGAACGTATGATTGATTTTACACTTTCTAAAGATGTGCCATAAAGATTGCCTTTGTATTCACCAAATTCTAAAAATTCACCACGGGCTATTTGTTCTTCCATCAATTCTCTTGAGACAAAATTATATTCTTTACCATTTACTTCTCCAGGCCGAGGAGATCTGGATGTATCTATAAAGTGAAAATAATTAAGTGATAAAATTGTTTTTTTGTATCTAGAATCGTTAATTAATATATTTCTATTGTACTAAAATTTAAATATATACCTAGCAATTTAACTAAAATAGCTATTATAATTAGTATGCATATACTATCTCTGTAATAAAATCATAAATATGAAACACAGTTTAATATTTTTTAAAAGGTATTGTTTGAAATATTCAAATAAATATTTAGAATAGACCTATCCATTTTTAAATTTTATTTGAGAAAAATTACATACAGGTACTGAATTCAAATTATTAACAGTGTTTTAAAAATATTTATACATTAATTGTCTTCTACTTACGCGGTACAGGTGTGTGATATTTGTCAGGATTTAGTTCCATAATACGTCTCTTCAGCTCATTTCTACCAACACCAGGTGGACCAACTAAGACAATGGGCCGAGGAAGTTCATTTCTTGGATACAACTTAACCACTTCTTCATATGTAGCAATATCTTCACGATCATAGTCATCACTTTCAGCTGCGTCATAGATAACCTTTTTAACACGTGTACGTACCGAACATTCGGACGCCATGTCTTCGCCGAGATCGTTCAGAGCGGCCAATGACCCACATAATGGGTCTTTAGCTAATGAACGGTCTGGCAAACATGTCATACCGCCCCCACCAATACAACCCCCATTAATGGTATCCATGACCCCTGTAATCCGCAAACATAGCCACATGTTAATCACAATACACTACTAAACAAAAAACATGTTAATAAAAAAAATTAAAAATAAAAGGGTACTAAACACACTAAATTAATAAAAATCTATATTTTATTGTTAAAAAATAAAAATAAAAAAACTAAATACCTACCTAATAATAATAATAAAGAAATACCTATGTGTTTTTTACAATATTAAACTTGTAAGTGATTATTAAAATTAAACTGAACAAACCGCTATTTAAATTTAAATAGTATAATATACACTTGTGTGTTTTTAGTGCTATTAATGTAAAATATTTAAACCAACTCCACTAGCAACATAATATGTATACACAAATTGGACACAAGTTTAAAACCATTATAGAATATTATACATAATATACTATTAAAATTTCCAGATAGGTAGGTACTACATACTTATAATATTAATGTATTCGGTGAAAAATAAACTGCACATGGTACAGTTTATACCAACAATCAATTTAAAACTAAGTTTTGGTTTTGTTAAATCTATGTCCAATACATGACTGAAATTACAGATTATAATTTATATCCCAAATTTATATATGGTAGAAACTGTCATAGGAACAATAAATTCCTTAATATATTAATCAGTAAACTCATAGTATTAAAAAAAAGTTAATGTGAATAAATTATAATTATTTTGTTTTGATTAGAAATATTAAGCACACATTTCAACTTACATTTCTTTTTTTGATCTGTCATTGACAATCTTTCATGAATTATTTTACGTTCTTGTAGAGCTTTACTTGGTATAAGTCCAGCTCTCATATTACGGTCCCCTTCTTTACGGGCTTGCCACCTAGATTTGTAAATTTAATAAACTAATCATAAATGAATAATTATTAACTAAAAATATATGGAAATTACCAATAAGGATCATCCTGACTAACAATGTGAAGTACTTCTCCTTTGGAAAAACTTAAACCGGCCTCTTTGCATGGAATGTAAGGATCGACATCAGTGTTAAAATCAAAATGGGCTCGAACTTTCATTTTGCTTTCTCGCGATCCATTTTTGGGGTCTGCCGGAATCAATTTGAATGTTATTGTCCCTTCAGAATGTTGCTATAAGTAAACCAAAACAATTACTTCCCATTTATTTCATAAATAATTATAATATAATTATTAATTATTATAATTTGATTTTATATACTAGTATTTGGAGTACATCTGCTGGAGACTTTCCTTCAACATTAATTCCATTCACTTCACAAACTTCATCACCGACGTTTATTAAACCAGATCTGTCAGCAGCGCCACCATGCATAACCCTTGCTATAATTATTTTTCCATTTTCTTCATCAGTTTTTATTGTGGCACCCTGTAATTTTCACCAATCGTTACAATTGTAAACTTTACGATTAATAGCACTTGATTGTCATTTTTTTTAATCGATTTAAAGTTCAAAGTTATTTTTGTATTTTTTAATAAAATTATTACACAGGTAAACTAAGATTTATTTTCAAGCTTTACAAACATTTGTTTAATACACTTCTCACGTCTAATTATTGTTCTTTTTTTTTTGTAATTTCTAAGTTTTAACATAGATTATTCATTTCTTCAAAAACTTCAAAAAATAAACATATTTTCCTGACAATATGAATATTGTAAGGTCACTGAGGGAATATATTAAGGTATTTTGAGCTATTGATTTATTGGCAATAGTTTAGAAAACATCAATACGAGTGCTGAGCAGTATAAAAATCTAGGCCATGAAAAATTAGAACACTAATGTAAAACCATGCTCACTTAATTAATGACATACATTAATTAACTGCCTTATGTCTATAAATAATACAGTACAAAGTTAAAACACACATTCTAACCATAGAATTGTCTGTAAAATTGAATGGCAAAAGTTTAAAAACTAATAATGGTTTCAGAACATTTTAAACAAATGTATACCTAGTAAACCTATCACCCTACTTACCACAATTGGTTCAGCTGAATCAGGTTCCCCATCCTTGTGAAATGCAAAACAGTTAATACAAAAAACAACAGATTAACCATTAAGAAGTTATGGTTGTGAATTGTTAAAAAATAAAATGCAAATTACAAAAAAGAAAAAATGTATTAGGCACATAAAAATATATACAAATAAAAACAAACACAAAAACAAAACAAAAAGTGGACTAGAATAAAATTAAGACTTTACCATTTTTAAATTAAAAAGCTACAAGCAAATGCCATAAGTACAATTTGTGGAGAAGGTGGTCTAGGAGCCAAGTCCCAAAATTATCTTATTATTAGGAACTAATTTATTGTTGATAAGAAATTGTGACTACAGCAATTTTTGCCATCTGGTAGTGAAGAAACAAGCACTTATATTAATAAAAATAAAAAAATAACAATAGTATACACCGCTATATAAGGAACATGATCATGCTTAGAAAATTTCACTACATGTTAGTACCAATGGTTCAGTGCTTTTAACCAATTGCACAATCTTGATTGTCTCTTCATCCTCATCCATCTCTTGAGGAATGTCTGGCAGTCGGGGTAGGTAGTCTTTTTGAGCTACTGCGTCATGGGCACACAGAAGTCCCTAAAGTGTTCACCATTAAGTCATTATTAAAATACAATACCGTAGGTTCTCTATACATACCTGTATGTGGGGGTTTTGTAATAGTTGAAAAAGTTGTCTGGATGTATCGCTGAGCGCGATCCTGGGCAATATAACTTCCATGACATCCAATGTGGTTTGCATGGAACTCGACAGTACGGGAGAGCATCGGCGATCATCGCGCACCCGGTCAACAATGGTATTGTAGACTTTGAAAAGAGCATGTAGTTCCTTGCTTTGCAATAAGTTGGACAAGAAGTCCAGTTCTTCTTTGGACGCGGATATGGCGTCTCGTGATCCCACCAACGACTCCAGTAGGCCAGCCAGAGCTAAACGAGAAACAAACACAATTACAGGTCAATAAGTCCATAGCGTTTAGAGGTTTTATCGTCCAACTCGTCGCCGCTCTTCTTACCAGGATCGAAGACCCCAATGTTCTGTTCCATTGCGACGCTCATGTCTTTTCAACAGTACACCTGTAACAATCAGACACAGTCAGAATGTGGCCGGGTGGAGAATTATTTTTCATCTTACTTGTACGACGACGCGCATAGCAACAGAAGAACGCCCGTCCTCGACAGTAATTGTCGGCATCACCGTGTCGAAGTGCGGTCCATACACACTACGACGCTGCGAAATGACGTGCACACGCGTCCAACGGTAGTTGGGTTTGGGTTCACGGCAATAATTTTCCGAAATAACTAAAAGAAAATTCAGTAGGCGCAGACTTGTCGGCTACCCACTACAGGTCAGATATACAGCTTCGTTTCGACATAATATATTGTGTATAAGTGTATTTGTCTATTTTTTTCTTTCATTTTATTTTTTCCCGCAGGACTGGCTGGCGCGAGCGATCCGATTCTGGGTCAGCTGAAACCGCCGCAGTGCCGCCAACGCAGGGCTCCTCCCTTCCACTCCTACTCTTCCACCAAAAGCACAGCGACCAGCAGGCCTTGAGGGGCTGCACCCGCCCGACCGCCCAACAGCCACGGTGAATACGCAATTTTAATTATAATTATTGATTGTTATACATAATATTATTATTATTATTTCCATCCGCTGCTGGATGTCGTCGCGTTGGCGTTGGAGTATCCGATTCCGACCGATTCGTCGCGGTCGGACCGTCGGAGGAACTACGCGCCGGAATCCCCACCTCGTCGGTTTCGCGCGATTTTTTGCACCTACTTCAATACCACACTATAGTTGTAGAAGTCTGTGATGTTTGTTTTTCATATTTCATCACCCTTATAATATGACTTATCCCATTCTAGTCCCGTTCAGCTGTTTCTCAGACGCTACCTATCACAAGACGTGCCTACACGGTTGCTTACGACATTGGTCGTCGGGTCGGACCACGCGTCCTCAAGCAAGTCAAGACGTAGGCACGGACGGTCCGTGCGCGTGTCCGTAACCGCGCGGGTTATGAATAGAAGCACCGCCGTCCTGCTTGCCGTGGCGTCAGGCGTGTCTGTGGACCGCGACGTCTGCGTTGCTTGTTGTCGTCACGTACTCACGTCCACGTCCGACGTTGTTCGTTTTCGGTTTTCCGAACGTGAGCGCGGCGACATACGTCAGCCGGCCGCCGTTCGGCGTTATCGCGATTGAAACGCGCCCGAAATAAAGTCGCGCGCATCTGCCGTACTGCAGATCTGATCGGCGCCGTCTTCCCGACGTTAATAATACGTAATACTTATTTTAATATAATATTGTGGTCGTCGTGACGAATAAAATCGCATTTTAATAATATATTATGGCCGTCTCGAAGTATATGATATTATATTACAACATTATGACTGTCGTTTAATTAAACTACAACTTTGAACTTGCTGCAGTTTGTGTGGCATATAGTTTTGATTTTATATTAGTAATTAATAATTAGACCGTTTTATTAAATATTAAATTTGCGTTTAACAGAATTTAAACGATTTTTAAGACGTTCAAATAATCAAATTGATTTACTATTTAATAAATATTGATTGATAATACTATAGTAATAATATAATATTATAATTTATAGCCTATAGGTATATTATGAAATACGAATTATAAGAATATAAGTACGTGAAATTCCAGTGGGCTCATCTCGACATAAAATTATTATGATTTCCACGATTTTGTATTAGTATTTAAACGATAGGTACATAAAAAGAAAATTAAATTAACGTTTTCATATTTTCAATGAATGTGAACGTGAACGAATTCAATTTTTTAGTGGACGTTCCGAACACTGCAATTTTCTATATGATAGTGAATAGTGATTATCATCACTATGGTGAATTGTTTATTATTGACTACATTAATATTATATTATAAAACTAAGGTAAGAAATAAGAATATTCGCACTGTCAATACAAGAAGGCCACAACTCGAAATTGATGATTTTTGTGTTCATGGTGTATTCCTGTATTGATTTATTGAATTGACATCATAATACTGTTTCAAAATGTATACAATATTAAAATATTTTTGTATAGTAATAGACTACTACTAGTAAAAATATAAATTTTTCTCTCTATGATGACTAAATCCAATCACAGTAGAAAATATTGATAAATTAATGAAAGGAAAAAGACGGAAGAGATGTTATTTATATTTTTATTTTATTATTATAAATTTAAAATTATAATGTTATTTTGTAATAATAATAATTTAATATTATACAAATTGTTATAATTCAATGTTAATATTATTAAAAATAAGGAAACATTCAAGAGACTGAGTTGTTCATTTTATAAATTAAATATTATATTATTATTTTATTTTGCAGTTTAAGTGTTTTTTAGATCAACATCAACATAATTTAATAATATTATTATATTAATTACTTCATACATTTTTTTTTATCAATTTTTTATTTAATAATATATTTTTTTTTTAGTCATATTTATTTAATTTGTACAATCTGTAAAAAATATATTTACAATAAGCACAATGGAGGGATACATAATAGGTCATGGTTGGCTTGATTGAAGAAGCTATTCAATAAAAGCATTCATGAAAAATAATAATATTAAAATCAATTAATTAGGCAGTGTAAATAAACAAAAAAATTTCAATTTTTGTTCTTTTAAGTTCAAATTATATAAAAGTAAAGATATTTACAAGAATAAAAATCACAATAAAATTATTAATATGTATCTATACCCTTTACATTATTTTTGTTTGATGAAAACATTTTTTTTTCTATAATTTTATATTGATTTCCTGAACATTTGCTTTTTTTGAGTTATGGCCTTATCGTACTGATAGTGCGAATTATTCTCTATGTGAATTGGAAATTAAAATTAAACAACACGATAAACAGTGTCGGTGCCGGTTTTTTCCAATTTTCCGCAATTCTATAAAATTTTAAAATTATATTTTATATATTTTAGTTGGTACCTTAATTATAATACTTTTACACTAATCTAATGCCCTATAACAATTTAAGGGTGGAGGGAGTTGATACGGTGTCAGCAAAAATTACTTCACAGGAAAAACTCTCACGCCTTGTTGATATATTGGATTTTGATAATTCTGAAAGATGATAACTTGTTTTAGATCGGATCAAAGCCCAAAATGTAATTTTACTTTAAATAGTGCTAGAAAAATACGTTTGAAAAATAACAAATATTGTACATTATTCAAATGTATATTTTAGCTTCTATATAGGTGATGATAATTTTGAAAATCAGGTTGTATATTTCTGTTTTACCAGACACCTTTGTTTTTATGACATTTTTTATGTTTTAACGTATGTATCTAATTAAACATGCCGACAAACGATGCTTAAGTCAAAATTTGAGAGTCGGCCTTATTTTTAAAGTTATAGCTATTTGGAATCTGAAACTAAACTATGATCTTTACTCTTAAATTGTACATCTATTCTCATTCTGGTTTTTAGGATTATACTATTTAAATTAAATTAAAATGGTATACAGTCAAAAGTTCTAAGAATATACAATACTAAAAGATTCGCTGTATATCTCGAATATATTAAGAATAGTTACCTACCATTTATTATGTCCAACAATACTTAGAGATCTTTAAATGCCTAGGAACCGCTAGACATGTATGTTTAAAATACCACGTCGCAGTGCTCATCGTCAGCACTTAAACCCATTAGTTTCAGCTTCTCCTCTCAAAAAAATTACTAATGTATTTGTTAATATACGTATAAAACGACATGAACCTTATAAAATAATTCCAACTACACCCTAAGATTTGAAAAAAATTGATCAAGTTGTGAGGGCCAAGGAGGTCTTAAGCCCATCTTGTCTACTGTAATGGTTTTTAGTATGCCAATACTAATAAACGAATACATTTATCGCTCCACACTGCAGGTTCTAAAAGTAGGTATGCCTACTAAAATCTAAAAGTCTCACCAGGGATGACCAACTAGCGGTACATTTAATATTGTTGAATGCGACACATTCAATTTGGCACGCATTACTCATTTCAATTTTAGATTCCGAGCTCAGCAATAAATGTATGTTATTAAATGTATTATTATTGTTGGAGGTCGATGAAATATTTAAGAAACAAGTGCAAATTGTTAGGTTAACGGGTTTGCTGCTCTTTTCACTAGGTAGGTACCTATCTACTATCTAGTATCTACATCCGTGTCCCGGAGCTTATACGTGCCCAGAGTCATTGAGTTCACCTACTGTCTATTATACATTTATAGTTTATACTGTGAATTAATAATAGGTACAACTATTACATGTCATACCTAATCGATCTATATCTCACGGTGTGGACTTTGGTCTGAGGGTTACCCACCCGTTTCTAAAATTCATTTGCACCCACCGCCGACCAACCCACACAGAAATCTATACTTTAGCGACCATACTAGGTATATAATACACTTCCCAATCCGCCTATAAATTCCTAATGAAGTATCAAATTTTACTCTTCAAAATATTAGGTATATACATAACTTAATATTATTTTATTATGTAATTATTTAATATTTAAATTACGAATGTATTGCTTTAAATTAATAATCCCTTATGGTGTATATATTTATAATTATTTACTGCAGTCACCTACATATTTTACCCAGATACTTATTATAATATGATGAGTGTACCTACCTCATACTTTTTTTTCTGTGTGACATCACTACTTCAGTGAGGAACATTATTCTGTTGAAATAAATAAAATTAAAAATATAATTCTTAACACAAAAAAAAACACAATATCAATATAATAAGTAACTTTATTACATTATGAACACATTTTATAATAATATATATATTAAACAGTTTTTCAAAATATGGTGTTCAAAGTAAAAACAACTAAAAATGTAAAAAATATATTTTAATATTAGATTCTGAGCGGAGAGAGGAAACTAGTGGTTTTACAATGGTGTTTATTTTTTTAATTTTAGATTCTGAGTGAAACGATGAATGTATTGATTTTACAATGATGTGTGTTTTTTTATTTTTTATTTTTGTGTCTGTGTACACGATAAGTA